CCGCCAGACGCCGAATTACCTGCTCCACTGCACGGCTCATTATCACAATCACTAGCGCGTATCTTATTTATTCAGTGCCATTGGCTGGCAACCCTCAGTACCAAAACAAGGAAACCTGTTTCGATACGAGCACCTCACAACTCACAAACGCTGAACGGATTTGGACAAAAACTTGTACCGGAGCGTTCGACACGCCATTTGAGTGGAAAAAAAAATCAATGTAGTTCCGTCATAGGCTTTGCAGAATTTGCCCATAAACTCTGAACGCAGATCTACATTGCCCAAATACTTTCTCATAAATGGCTTATCTTAGCTAAAAATTGGCACACAACATATATGATTGGTACAGTTTCTAGCAGACGGCACCGCGCAACATCGCAGAAGACCGTCTTCAATCTAGAAACCACAACCCGTTGATACCGACGCCACATACACAGCACTAAACGCTTATCAATGCAAATACCTCATCGCTCATCGCTAATAGCCTGCCAAAGTGCACACGGCCTAGCATTACGTGACAGATCATACATCATCACTTTTCGGTCTGGCGTCACAACTGGGCTGAAGCAAACAGAGATGCACAGAGAGACAGGGAACAATCAGAGGTTTCAGACCTGAGTCACTGCCAAGAACATCTCAGCTGTGGCATCGCCAGGTCCCCGCACTTTGCAAATTCGCTCAGCGTTCATACGTAACCCACAGAGCACAGTCCATCTTGAAAAGCTGATTGTGCGTGCGCTCAGCAAGCAAGCGAGAGGGAGAGAGATAGTGACAGTGGAACCACGGTTCCGGGGAATTTGACGTAAATACGTCTATACGGAAAGGAAGTTTACATATTGGCTTTATTCTAAATATTTCCTTTATATCCGCTTTACAATTGAGTAAAGTTTGATTAAGACTTTGCTTATTTAACTTGAATTAGTTACGCTTAAAATGGGTATGTGGTAGCGGAATGTAATGAAATGTAATGTTTTATAGGTAACAACAATTCCGAGTAAACACGACGATCCCTAGGTACACTTGTTACACTTTTTTACCGAATGACCCTTCCTTATAGACGTATTTACGTCAAAAAGTTACAGAATCAGTCCCTATCATGTGCCAGATGAATCCAAGACCATTTCCTTAAGATATGAAGATATCTTTAATATTATCCTCTAATCCACGTATGAATTTCTCACCTTTAGCACGCGTGCAACATGTCACGCCGATCACAACCTCTGTAATTTGCTGCAGAGTAAAAATTGCCAAGCTTTGGTTCAAATATTAAACAGCAACCTGTCATGAGGTCACGAAACATAACGAGAAACAGAATTGCCTGTAATCCGGCAAACCGGATGCGAACAGAAACACGACCTGCCCAAAACAAAAAAGTGGAGCGTTGAGTGGGGACAGGAGAAGAAATAACCGGAGGGTAAACGGGAACGTGAAGTACAAGGCAGGCCTTCGTAGTGGGCGACAGGTTTGAACACCGATTGAAATGGGATTACGGACGTCTCAGAATGAAATTTACTGAGAACTGTCACTCAGGCGAATGGAAAAATGAACCACAGAACGAGTGACCACGCGAAATCAGATTTCGGGCGGTGACAGAATTTATACAGACCCACCTGATGAAGACTGGATCAAACAGGGCGATACGAAAACTCCTTTGCATACGGTAAGAGTTCCTCTGAAATTTCTGCAGTTGAACGAACACATTTTCTCCTCTAAATTTCTTACAATGCTAATATCTGCTTCCACAGAGTATCTAATGGCTACTTCCATAAGATTTAATCTACAAGTTGTGCGCACGCACCTGCTTTGTTCATGAGTTTCGAACATTTCCGTAAACCCTCCCCCCCCACTCGCAAAATTCAGACCTCTGTCCCACTAACGGGGCGAAGCACCGACGTTGTATATTCACAATTAACATGAACTAACGGAAATAATTACATTTCTCGTGACAAAGGCTGCAAGGTGAACATGATACAGGGCTCAGTGAGCATTTTAGAAATGATGAAGGTCTGCCCCGCTGTAATCTAAGGTCTTCCAATCATTCCACCACTGCAACTAAGGAAACAGTTACGTAACCCAAGAATAAGAATTAGGCGTTCTTTGCGCAAAGCGAAAAGCGAGAACGTATTAAGGGCTGCGCGTGTCCGTCTGTCCACGATTCAACTCGAAAACCACTGGACGGATTTGGGCGAAATCTGATCTGCACGACCTCAAAATCTTACTTTTGAATATCCTACGAGCGGTGATAAGTGACGGATCAGGAAAGTCGGCGCTGCGATCTGGTGGCCAAAACGGGAACTGTGGAACAAGGCGGAATTATATCTCTGAACGCACGTTGCAAAGAACGCACGAGGTTTCTCGTGTATTCCGGTACAAATACGATTTCTGAGCTTGTTATCAAACAGATCACTTGAACGTGCAGAATCCAACTTACCACCTCGGATCTCAAACACCGAGACTTGCAGTAGTAATTTTCCTCAGATCATTCCGGTGGACACGCGGCTGTGTTCAAATACGCCAAGCACGTTCTATTATTGGTATAATAATTGAACCACACACAACATACGTAGCTGTAATTAACAAACGCGCACTTTAGGTACGTGACATCTGGCTTCGACCCTCAAAATCGTGCGACGAAACAAATACATAACGGAAAAGTGCAAACTGCCCCATCTCACTATAAATTCAAGAAAACATCAGGTGGAGCAGATGAGTGCCAACGGGCGGTCGCTACGTACCAAGTGGACACGGAGGTAAGCGTCCACGAACAGTTCCACCTCCTCACCGGAGATAAGTGCTCGGATTTCCTGAACGACAAATTCGTCGAATGCCTGTACTCACCGCCAGCAACTACTGGACCCAGGGGGTCAAAATGAACCCTATGTTCTGCCCCTGCCTGATGAGCCTGCAGCAAATCGGAGAAGAAGCGGTGGCGTCGTAACGCCAGTTCGTCTCGCCCCACAGGAG